AACATCCAGGAAATTGTGAGTACTGCCAGAATCCACCAGAATCTGAATGGCCTTCTTACCAAAATGTCCAGTAACTCTCATAGTTTGGTAACCTGTGATTCCATTGACTGCGTGAAATGAAATACATGGTTCTATCTCCAGCAACTCAAAGTCCCTGTCCTCTTCAGAAATATCCCTATCTTCTGTGTCAACGTCCAACTCATCCCCAGGGATTTCTACCAAAAACAGTTGAGTTTTCTTGCTTTGGCATCTGTGACCTTTCTCATAAGGTTGATCACAAAAGTAACACAGCCCCTTTGCGCTTTTTTCTGCCCTTTCAGCTGCTGTCAAGACCTTAGTAGGTCTAAAACTCCTTGTTGTACTACTTGATGAACTAGTACTATCAGGTGTGGAGTTTTGAGGATTGCTATGACTCCTATAGTCTGAGAATGCACTACAACCTTTGAAACTAGTATTTCCCCTCGGTGTGGGTAGAAGACCGGTTGTGTTTCGTGTTACTTGCGCCTTAGGAGTGTCTCTAACCGCTTGCACAGATTCTTCCTGTAATCTAGCAAATTGTACAGCATCATCAATGGTTAGAGGTTTTAGTGCCTTCACAAAAGACTTCAGGTGTGGCTTCAGACCTCCCACAAAACTATCCACAAAATAATCATCAGGTAAAACTGGAGTTTTCTACAACATTAATGACTTTAGCTCTTCAAATCTCTCCAAATATTCCTCAATTGTCCCAGTTTGATTCAATTTATTGAATTCCTCCACTAGTTTACTGTCAAGTTCTTCTTTGAACCTACCACACACATCAATGATGAATTCATCCCATTCTACTCTCTTTTTGACAACAATGTAACTAGCAAACCATACCTCAGCCTTCCCTGTCAAATGGATTGAGGCTACATCCATTTTCTGATTTTCAGGGATTTTACAGAGACTGAAATAGCGTGTGCATTTCTTCAACCAATTCCTAGGGTTAGAGCCATTGAACGAAGGAAATTCAAGTTTAGGCAAAAATTTAAAAGCAATTCTGTCACCTCCTTCATTGCCGATGATCTCTGATGACGATCTATTCTCATTATTGCTTGATTTTTCAAGCAACTCCATCATTTTCTCAAACATATTCTTTTGTTCTGCTCTAATTTCTTCGATCTTCTGATTTTGAGATGCCAATTGTTGTTCCAGTATCATCTTGAGCTGATTGTTCTGGTTTATCTCCATGTTCGACTCTTGCTCAGATCTGGATTGTTTTCTCGTTCTTGCCAGGATGAGAACTTGCTTTGATACCACTGATAAAGTCCAATGCAGGAGGATTCAGAGATGGAGAAGAATCCTCGAGGATGAACGTTAAAGACCAGGGATTGAAGTCCCGATCAAAATGTGAGAGAAGAGAGAGAGAGAAGTTATGTGAAATGAGATTAAATGTCTTCTTATTCCAACCACAGCTTGAATACAAGTATATAAAGGCCCTGAGCCCCCCGAGCTTAGCTAACCGTCTAACAAACTCAACCGCCATCTAACCGTATCTAACCACCACACACACGTGGCAAGGCAACGCCTGTATCATTAAATTAATTATATCGCAGTTTATTGATCGTTTCCCTAAATGCACAGGATGATTTGAATTTATTTGAAAATTAATGTATTATTGAAAAATAAAATTTATATTTTCAAAACCAAAATCAAAATTTCATCCAATTCCACGAGTAAACGTTACAAAAAAGAATAAAAAGAAAAAGGAGTACTCAATCCCAAACCAGCAAAGACAATAGATAGCAAACCATCAATCAAAATCCTATTATTGATTTTCATTATGATTTTTTCTCTTTTTTAAGAAAATTTGACTTTGAGGTAAATTCGTCTAAAATATTTTTACTAAAAAAGTGGAAATAGGCCGATTGTTTTAAACTTTTATTGGAAGTGGGTGGGGTGTTTTGAAGTGGGTGGAGTATTTTTGTCTTAACACACATATATGTGAGAAACAAAAATATTAAATCCAAATGGGAGTATTTTCTTTTATGTTTGGTTGAAATAATTTTCAATTAAATTAATTACATCACAGTTTATTGATGGTTTTCCTAAATGCACACGAGGATTTGAATTTATTTGAAATTAATGTATCATTGAAAAATAAAATTTATATTTTCAAAAACAAAATCAAAATTTCACCCAATTCCACGAGTAAACGTTACAAAAAGAATCAAATGAAAAAGAGAAGGAATACACAATCCCAAACCAGCAAAGACATTAGATAGCAAACCATAAACGAAAATCACATTCCACACAATACAAACTACCATTTCCACAAGACACACACACATTACTACATTAGCCGATTGGCGTTGCAGGGGTTGAAGTTGGGGGGTCCTTTGTATCAGGTAGAAGAACATTCTGGTCATCAATGTTCACCCTGCTACGCTTATCAACACAAGGCCCATAACTCCAGCTACAAACACCAAAATAGATTAGATTAATGAGCGTCAAGATGGCAAGAAGCCAATAATAATACTCGTAATGACCCTTGTTTATATTGCTAGACACCCAACTGATCTCCCCCTCTCCCCCTCCGGTCGTTGCACGGTCCACCGTGCTTAGAATCACACTTGCCAGCAGGTTCGCCACCGCCATTCCCAACCCAAAAAGTGACGAAGCAATGCTCGACATGCTCTTTGGGAGCTCAGAGTAATAGAACTCTGTCTGTCCTATCGCATTGAACGCCTCGGCCAACCCATTCAGACAGTGTTGGGGCACAAGCCACATAGCCGACATGTCCACCACGGCTCTGGGGTTGTTTAGGAACCCTTGTTCTACTGCTTTCCTTCGTCTTACGTGCTCGACAACCCCAGAGAATAACATCCCTATGGCAGACAGAAATATCCCCATCCCCATTCTTGTTTTCGTGCTGAGATGTACCGGTTTCCCTCTTATCTTCGATGCTAATGGAAGGACTGCTCTGTCGTAGAGGACGACCCAGATGGTTAGAGCAATGATGGTGAACATCCCAAAGGATCCAGCTGGGATTTCGAAGCTTTTGGTGACATGTCTATCCATGGAGCTCGCTTGTATTAGTGGGAATGAACTTTGGCTTATGTTGATGGATAACATTATCCCAGTGGACCATAATGGGATCACTCTTAACAGAGCTTTTAGCTCCTCAACCTGATCAACACTGCATAGCTCCCATGGATTTGCTGGAATGCCATCTGCCTTCACATCTTCAGCTTTCTTGATGATGCACGCCTTGTTTAAGAACCTACCCAATAACTCAGCGTAAAGCTTAATTTGAATATGGGTACAAGTCCAAAATAAGGGAATAATAGTGGATCAGTATTATACCTTAATTTGTCAGTGGGCACCATGAATTCTGAACCTTTGTTGAAATGGTAATAACAAGGGATTTGAGATGGTGGGTGAGGGAGGTGCCGGTTCTTGAAAGCAGCCACCAGCACGCGGGCAAAGCGGCTAAACAGATTGCCGCTACTCTTGCCCTTGACATACAAAGGAGAGGCAAGAATGAAGAGGGTGGCAGCCACTAACATGAGAAGGGCCGGAATTCCGAACCCAACTTTCCAGCCAAAATGATCTTGAATGTAGACAATGGCAGTGAGAGCAATCATGACTGAGATTGCAGCGGAGGCGTAGTACCAACCAAAGTAGCTCTCCAACACCCTTTGGTTCCGAGGGTTGTCTTTCTTCTTGTTCAGCTGGTCTGCCCCAAAAGCTAAAGAACATGGTCTTATGCCGCCTGCACCAATGGACATCAGCACGAAGGAAGTGACCAGGACAAAGAACTGTGCCGATGTGGCCGCGGATTTACACGGTTGCGGATTTGGTCGGGTGCATTCTGGAGGCCTTAGTTTCGCAACCATTGCCGTCAGCCACAACACAACCATCCCCTGCATTATTGGACATATAATCAACCAGAATGAGAATGGAAGTGGTAAAAAAAGGAAATTGAAGAAGGAAGTTATGAATTAATTACCAAGAGGCTGAAAATTGAACCAAGGGAAATGGTAAGGAAACGACCCAGATAAGAATCAGAGAGAAAAGCACCAAGCAAAGGCAAGAAATTGGTGGCAGCTGACCAAAAGAATAGTAAATTCTGGCCTTTGGCCACACTCATCCCGTAATCGTTCATCAAATACAGTATCATGTTTGGCAATAGCCCATAGCTTGACACCTTCTCCAGTGCCTCATTTGCTGCTTAATTGAAAACAGAACACAAATTGAGCAAACTGTCACGCCATTATGATTTAGGAAACAATAGTCGACGAACATTAATTAAAGCCCGTAAAGGCAGGACCTATGATGAAGGGCATTGTGACAAGACCGCCCTTTGGTTTCGTTTTTCGCTGGATCGTTGATGCAGCTTCTTCATCTTCTTCCTCAAGCTCTGGCTTCATTTTCTTGAGCTGCAGAGAGCTATCGTCCATATTCTTCTTCCTCTCCTTTTTTTCTAACTTCTCGATTAATTCAAGACAGGGCGAACAGAAGAGGAGAGAGAGAGTGAGAAGTTGGGGGTGTGACTTTTTGGGAGTATGGCTGAATATGGAGCAAGTCAAGAAAAAGGTAGAAAGGAACATCTAAGTTCTAACGTCAAGTCCGGGTGACTTTTATGAGTTTTATCTGCTAGCCTGGACGACCAAGGTATTGTTTGAAAAAACATTTCGATCGAGACCTTCTCCTCTCCTCATCCCAAATACAGAGTATCTTTTACACTTTAACTAGTGAGGAATTCAGGTAAATAGCACTGAAATATAATGACCTTGTTTGGATGTTAGATGTTGGCAGTTTGTGTCGGTTGTTGTGATTGACTGTTTAGTTTAGCTGGTTTGACCGGCAGTATGAATTGGCTGATTGTTAAAAATGTTTAGTAAAATTAGCTGTTTGAAAATAGTTTTTCCTATATATATACACACATATATATATATATATATACATACATACATACATACATATATATATATATATATATATTCATACAAGAATTTGTTTACAAACAAAAAGCTCTTTGATTGAATATAGCAATTGGCCAATATATATATATATATATATATATATATATATATATATATATATATATATATATATATATATATATATATATATATATATATGTGTGTGTGTGTGTGTATGTATGTATGTATGTATGTATGTATGTATTTATTTATTTATTTATTTTCATTTATTTTCATTTTTTGTACAAACACGATATTTATTTTCATTTTTTTACATGTAAAAATTAAATCTTTACGATATGGAGTATTAAATTTTACTTTCATTTAATTCATAAGAACTTATTAATATACGACTTTTTAATGATTTTTACTTTTTATTTTCTCATTTCATTTTCTTGAAATTTTTAATTTTTAAATTTAATTTCTTTTAGTATTTAACTTTTTAACTTTTATTTTTAGTTTTTACATATATTATAAAATATCTTTCAATAAAAACAATTTTAAAAAAAATTAATTTTCTTAACAACCAAGTCCAAATGCTACTCCCCCTGGTATTTCGGATTTTGGCTTTTCGGATCAAAATGCCAAGTGAAAAAGCCATTAGCCAAATAACAGTTTTGGCTATTCACTCAGTCAAAAGAGCTAAAGTCAGTCGAACATGCTAAAAGCTACTCGAAAAGCCGCTTTCTAAACAGAGCCAATGATTTTCTCTAAATAGCACTACATGTATTTTTTCCCTAATGTAGCACTTTAAGTCATTATCTATTAGTCATTATTCAAGTAAATGTTTGGCATCAGTGGTCATTATGGATATTATTAAGTGTTATTTAGGGAAAAAACAATTTAAGTACTATTTAGAGAAATGACTTAAATTTTAATGCTATTTAGTACATATATTTCTTAACTATTTTTGTTAAAAGAGTTGTACCCTTTCATCAAAAATTATGAAAAATTTATACTTCCTTTTCCATTTTTTAATATTTTAAACAATATATAAAATCTCATTTTTTTAAATTACTTTTTTTACAAATTGGTCTAATACAAAAAATACACATATTATTCAAAACTATATCAAAAATTCTACAAAACAAGATATGATAAAAATGTTTTATTTTTTTCAAATGATTAAGTAAAGCATGCAAACAAATACTACGTATAAGGTATCAAGAGGCTGTAATAATAATTGATTAGTAAGAGTTTCATGTGTTTTAACCCAAATATAAAGGTACAATATATGTCAATATATAATACAAAAGAATACGACGGATGCAACTATACAGTGCCACAATATTACAATGTAACTCCTGCTTTGGAAAAAAAACATAGAATTTCTATTTTAAGGATAAATACTATAGTTTACTCCTATTTGAGGTGATTTATCATTTATTATCATTTTTTAGCTTGATTGAATTTTTTTGTGTATATTACTATAGGGTTATTTTGGCTTTCATTCGGCTCTCCATCATTCAAAATCTGTTGTTTTAGACTTTGTCCAATACTGTACGTAATTCATTACAACTTTTTAATAATCGATTACGGTGCGTTCTTTTATATTATGTATGAACTTTTCCGTCCTTGAGTTTGCGTAAACAATTACAAACTTATGCTTCATCTTCGACTTCAAATGAAAAGGTTATAACCATTTTAATTAATCTGAAAATATACCAAAATCATAGACGACCACATCTTTGACGTAACCAATTACATCATCTTTTTTTCTCACAATGACGTATTTTCTCTCCAATAGTGATATAGACTTGTTTCATCTTTTAGTCTATAAATACTGTTACAAATGTGATGGTACAAATTACAATGGACGGAGAAGATAAACAGACCCAGAATATAATAAGGAATAATTTTTGAATTTATATTTTTTTAGACTATTACAAAATAAGAAAAAGCTGGAAAGAATATTTTCCGGATCTTCAAAAGGTCTTGTTGTACGAGGACATTATGCACTAAACTGCAAGGACTTTATGTGCTGGACTGAAGCAACAAACAAGGATGAAGACACTTTGAGAAGTAGCGAGGTCACTGGAATAGCAGCCAAAATATTATGGCTAGAAACAGAATACCAACAAGGAAATTATAGTTGGTTACTAAGATTTGTGTTCAAAATTCTAAGATTTAATACGGCCAAGGGGATCCTTTGTAAAATACTTGATTACCTCTTGACAAGGCTTGTTTATCCAATCTAGTTGGTTACTTCAAAGTTTGTGCAATGTTATGTATGTAATGGATTATGAAATCCTTAAAGGCGAGCGAGCCTTGAGGTATCATAGCAGGGCTCACAAACCACTAGAAATTGTTTTCTTTTTACTTTTTGGGCTGCTCATTTTTACTTGGTGTGGCTTCATGTTTATCTTTTCCGTTGCATTTCTATTTTTTGGGCACAATTCTTCGTATTTTTAGTGTATTGTGCTCTTTATTCACCTATCAAAGGTGTAATACCACTTTTACATACTCTTGTTCCAAAGGTGAAATCGCTCCCTCCGAGTGCTCCTCACCCTAGTGCCCGACAGAATACAAGAATCGATGATCCATCCTACGAGTATTATGGATCACGTACCAACCAAATAGTGAAATTTTGGGTGGGTGAAATCCCCAAATGAGCGGTCCTCGAGTCTGGTTTGGATCCCGCACGTACGTTTTAACCCCAAATTGCTGAATTGGTCACATAGGTATATCTTAGGGTTCTTCTAGATATCCTTAATAATCAACATCAATTATCTAAATGGGTATATCTTATAGTTCTTTTAGATACCCTTTAACAATACACGTTATTTTCATAATCATCCATGTATTCATTTTAAAATCATGGTGGGATCATTCATAATCATTACTTTAATCTGAATATTAAAGTTTAATCATCATAATCATCAATCAATAGTAATCACTAATCATCATAATATCCAATAACAAATAGCGGCCTAGCGTTGAGTGTTAACACCCTAGCTTACCGTCATACATCACAAAAGATTTTATTTGTCAAAAACATCATTTTTATTTCGAGAAATCATCTTTATATTGGTCATAATTGATTAGTATAAAAAATAAGATTTTAGAGCTCCAAAAATTGCATTTTTGAGAAAATGTTCAAATCGGTCAGTTCGGGTGATCGATCACATGTGGTGGATCGATCAAATGTGGTCGATCGATCACCCGAGCTGACCGATCCGAACAATTTTTTGAAAATGCTATTTTTGGAGCTCGAAAATCCTATTTTTGGTACCAATCAATTGTGATCAATATAAAGATGATTTTTCGAAATAAAAATGATGTTTTTAAAAAATAAAATCTTATGTGATGTGTGACGGTAAGCTAGGTTGTTAACACTTGACGCTAAGACGCTATTTGTTATTGAATATTATGATGATTAATATTTATTGATGATTATGATGATTAAACTTTTATATTTTGATTAAAGTAATGATTATGAATGATCGAACCATGATTTAAAAATGAATACATTGATACTTATGAAAATAATGTGTATTGTTAAAGGCTATCTAGAAAAACTCTAAGATATACCCATTTATATAGTTGATGTTGATTACTAAGGATATCTAGAAAAACTCTAAGATATACCTATGTGACCAATTCAGCAATCTGGGATTAAAATTTACATACAGGATCTAAACCAAACTCGAGGATTACTCGTTTGGGGATATCACCCATCCGACAATTCACTATTTGGTTGGTACATGTTATATAAGACTCGTGGGATGGATCATCGATTCTTGTGTTCTGCCTTAAACTAATTATAGTTTAAGAGCCCGTTTAGAAATATTGCCTAAGACTAGGAATAATTTAAGAGCTTTGTTATCAAAATGATTTGGCCTTAGATTAAGAATAATTGAGGAGGAGTGTTGAAATACTGAATATTGAATATTGTATATATCATGAAATGGCTCGAATTAAAATATTGTGAATATCATTAATGATGAATGCCTAAATTGAATATTGTGTGCATGATATCAAATGATTTGATTATGAATTGAGATTCAGTTCATATGGATGTTTGATGCATTAGATATCCTTACTCAACTTCAACACTGAGCGTGTAGTATGTTTTATTTGTTACACATAGGATGACGGAGGTGATATTGTCGGGATAGATGTGATGGTTTTGAATTGAAAGACATAAATAAATTATGTTTTGTGATTGGGATTTGTTAAGCTTCCAGAACTTTGAAAAGTTCGTACTTTTACTGTTATGAATATTGTTCTTGTGATGAATAAAAGTGTTTGAAATATTTTAAATTTTTTGACTAGCAAGTTATTACTTTAGTCCGAAAGGGGCTGCATACCTGGATGAATTTGGGTGTTACAAACACAAGGTGGGACTTGTGCTCACTGCGCACAAGAAGTCTCCCTCATTTTTTGAGAGGTTGCTCCCACACTATTGTTGGTGAGGCTCAATCATTGATCTCTTGTTCCGAATTCCACCTCACCTCTGAGATCAGTTGAGTTGCCCATGTGGACCCACTTTCACATACTCAACAATGTTAAAAATCTATAAAATTTTAGATTTTAAGGAAATTTGTACTCTAACAAGATCTTGACGTGGTCTCCTCATACTTTACCATTTGGTGATTTTAGTGACTTCTATCAATATTCAAATGTTAGCAAATCTTCAACAAGGGATATTCTAGATTATCATCAAATATTTGAATGTTTCATGATGCTCTGCTAGAGCGAAGTTTGGATATTTCCTACATTAAAATATATGATTTACACATTTGAATGTTACTTATTTTAAACTTTGTTTATGAAAATTTAAATATTTTTCGTAAAGAAATAATAATATTTTACCCCCTGCTAGGGCAGCCATCCTTGGACCCCGCTACTAGGGGCTACCACCCCCAGAACTGTACTATATAATTTGTAATATTGTTGAATAAAAGTACACTTTGTACCTCTAAAATTGTTAACAACATCTATTAAAATTTTAAGAAATCTCCCTGGATATGAGTAAAATAGTATAAAAATATTATAACGATAGTTCTAAGTCTTTTAAAACCAAAACAGGAGTATAACGACAATGTGATGTAATAGTACGCGTTGGCATTGTGTTGGAACGTGATGTTAATGTAATATTGGAGGGTGATAAGTCAACTGTAAGCGATCTGCAGTGACAATTTGGTGGCCGGCGACGACGAATGGCAGTGTGATAGTTGTAATGTGACAATGTAGTAAGTGTGGTAATGTAAGAATGAAAGGATAAACTCCTATTATTGTCCTAAAATACTTAAAGAATCATGTTTTGGTATTTTTCATAATTATTTACTCTTTATCAAAGAGTTTCCTTAAAATTTTTGTGTGATCCAAGTAAATTTAGTTACATAAAAAAGCTGATAATAATGAAATCATCAAGTAGTGCATAATTTAGGGATAAAGACCAAAGTAGGACTAAAACATTGAAAATATACCAAAATAGGACTTTCATGTTTTTATTCCCAAAATAGGACTTACATTACCATACATGGTCATATACATTACCAAAAAGTATAAAAATTTGCACATGTACACTGCCACATTACCACATGGCAAAGTCACATTACCACAGTGCAAAGTCCTATTTCGGAAAAAAAAACATGAAAGTCCTATTTTGGTATTTTTCTCTATGTTTTAGTCCTATTTAGGGTGATTTCTACATAATTTATGAAAATAAATGAAGGTGAATGTTAGGAGTATACCAAAAAGTACAGAAAATTACTGGGAGGTGACGTAGGTTTTGTTGTTATGACTCCCAGGTCCCATTTAAAACTTATTGTAATTACTCAGTGGGGTATATTCCGGCCAAATAGATCGGAAAACAGCTATAACAAAGTAAATGACGGTATATATAATAACTATCAACCCCCCTTATGCCCTTATTTAACATCTACGGTGAATTTGAGCAATTGGACGAAGAAAAACTAGAGTTCTTGTCATCAAAGAAAAGCCCGAGTGGGAAACACCTCTTTGTGACATTTCTTGTGATCGTGATTCCTAGGAACTGGATCTCAGGTATTTTCTATGGCCATTTGTGTGAGTTTATATTTGTGCTTGGTTTATATTTGAGCTTTGCTATTTGGTCGAAGATAAGGGTTAGGTTTTGTTCATATATGTGCTCTCAAAAAGACTAAGATTTCAAGAATGAGATAAAAATATAATGATTTTTTTTCTTATGAATTTAAGGGCAAAATGCAAGCATCATCTTCAACAATGAATTATAAGAATGAAGGGTATGTATGTCACAAGTGTGATGTAGATGGTGAAACATTACTATCCCACTCAGAAGCTAATCTTGGAAAAGTGTATTGGAAATGTCCAATGTGTGGGAAATTCTTACGTTGGGATGAGAACACGAAGACAACCTCCAATGGGCAAATGGCTGAGAACATGAAAGGGATGGAGATGAAGGAAATGTTTGATAAACATGTGATGAATGACAAGAAAGAGATGCATTATTTTCTAAGGAGTTTATTGAGTGAGATGAGAATGAAGTTTATGCTTATATTTGGGTTGCCGGTTGTGGTTATGATGGTGATTATCATTGTCTTGTTAATTGTCATTGTGAACAAGTTCTCTCTGTAGTTTTATAGTAGAGTAAGGTCTGGTAGAGTAAGATTTGTCTTAGTGTTGGTAGTAATGGAGCTAAAATAAAATTCTCTACAGTTTGTATGACCATGTACTTCATGTTGGAGTTGTTAGATGTTTTGTTTTGGCTATGACAATATTGAAGATGAAATAAATATGTTTCTCCTTTCTTAGTGAAAATCTTTAATATTTGAGTTGTTCCAATTAAAGAGCAAAACCCATGGCTCAGATGTGAAGTGATTTCCCAGCAAGAGTAAATTTGGCCACAAAAGAGAAAAAATCAATATTTTTTCAAATTTAGGCCTCTTTGAATTGTATAATCCTTCATAACCCTAAGGAAGTCTTCCTTGCAACTAAAAATATCACCCACATTTAAGTCAACCATTTCATCTCTGTTTCTTATCCAAAGCCTCCCTCTGTTAAACACCCTTCTTATCCAAAGCCTCCCTCTGTTAAACACCCTGGCCATTTTATTAACAAGAAGTTGACTACCATTTCCATCCTCATCTACTAGTTCTTGACATAAAGACATCATCTTACTTGTGTCACCATCTAGATCTATCTCTTCCTCAATGTCAGATTCTTTCTCTACAGAAACTTCCTCACTGCATAAGCTGTCTTCGTCCCCATGAATGTAGTCACTACCATCCTCATCTTAAGTTATGTCTTGCTCGATAAGTTGTCCTATTTCACCTTCAACAACAGTGGGAACTGCATTCTCTTCTATAAACATATCAAGCAGGGGTATTTGGGGTTTACTCAATGAAGGAATGTCATAAGCTTCTAATCCTTTCAATTCCTTACTAAAAAGCTCTATGTTCAATTGAGTATTTTCATATTGGTGCTTCCCCTTATTTTTCTCTCTACCTTTTCCTTTTTTCTTAGGAGAGGAGACTTGTAATGATGGTGCAGGGGTAGAATGCAGTTTTGATGCCCTATGCATTTGCCTTCTCACTGCTAACTTAGGTTTTTGCCCAAACAAATGTGAGCTTGCTTTTGTTGGAGTTTTAGACATTTCAAAAGGGGTTTCAACCATGTAATCAGCCCAATTATCCCATTGCTCTACTTCACTCACGGTTGACTCTTTGGAAAATTGAAAATTAAGATCAGAAAAGATATTATCAACCACCATATCCTTTTCAGTTTGTAGGTTCTCAAGACTCTCAGCCATCTTTTACATTTCACTAGCCTCCTCTAACTCAACAACATATAAGGGAATAAATTTGGTTCTCTTAAGTTCCCCACAGTGACTCATCAGTTCATTCCAGCTCTATCCATTCTAAGTGGCTTTCTTTGTAACTCTTTTCTAGGAGGATGCCATTTAAACCCAATAAATTGAGGCAGCCTAACATTCTGTTTATTAGACAATGATTTCACATCACAATAAAGAACTTTCAAGAAATACATATCCAAATCAATGCCTTCTACCAAAATACTCTGGTGCTTCACATACACTGAAAAGCCTGTAAGAGCCTGGGCAACATATTGAAAAAGAAAGCTTTTACATCAGTTCCCAAACTCCAAAACCCTAGTTTATGCTTCAAGAAGAATTAGCGCGAAAAGCAAATACATCAACAAACATACCATTAACGTGAAGAACAAATTTATACAATGATGTGAAGAGGTCCACTGCAGGAGGGTGAGGTTGAACCGCGTAGACTCTTGCTTGATGATTCAGACTTCAAAACATCAGAGGTCTGCATACTCTTGCTTCTCTTTCAATGTTTACAAAGGCATAATATGGATTATACTGTCGTCCGGTTTATGAGGGCTGTTTTCCGACAAATTTTAACCTGGTACCGGTAAGAAGACTCCCACAGAGTAATTGCAGTGAATTTTAAATGCCTTGACATGTTTTATAAAAATAAAGGGACCCGGGAGTCATCACAACAAAACTGACGTCACATCTGAGTAATTTTTTGCCAAAAAGTATATCCTAATTTTACACTAAAGTAAATACAGATATAATATGTATACGAATAGACATAAAATGTCTGTGTTTATCTTTAGTGTACAATTGAGATACATTTTTGATTTACTCGTAATATATTTTATACTATCTCCATCCCAAAAACAATTATATCATTTTTGTGTTTTTTATTGATTATTTGATAAAATAAAATATTATTATTAATTCTTATTTTGTAGAACTTTTGGAATAATTTTAAATATTTAATTTTTATATATTTTTAATTTTTATATTAATCTTTAACTAAAATGAACTTTAAAAAATTTATAATTTTATTTTATTTTACATAAAATGTAAATTAAATATTTTGAAACTGAGGTAGTAAATGAAATGGATAAAGCTACTTGTACCCCAAAGTTTTTCTACCTCATTTGTACACCGCAGGTATACACCAACATTTTATGTTGGTGTAATGTTAATTTTTGTTAACACACCAACACTTTATATCAGTGCAAATTTTTGTTAATGCATTTGTATTACCTTTAGTATAAGTTTGAATTACAAATTTTGGTGTAAATGTAGCATGTTCCAAATGAAATTAAATGGTGTAAATCCATTTGTACACCATTGATCTTGGCCATTGATTTCCTTTTTTTATTTTTAAATTTTTTTTCCTCTCTTGTATTTGTGTGGTGGAGATGGAGAGGGGTACAAATGGGGTACAAAAATTTGGTGTACCCCTAGCATTTTTGTTAAGGAAAATGCTAAAAACCCCACCCTTGTTACCAACTATGCCCTCTATATAAACATGTGGTAGGGAGGCAAGAAAATTAAAATTAAAGGGTGGGTGAAGAATGAGTTGAAATAAATATGTGGTGGAGAAGTGGGTGGAGGCATGGTCGTTAGCAAGGGTAGAGTGTTTAGTACGGTCCTTTTGTTAAAAGGAAGAAGAAAAAAATCAAAAGAAAGGTGTCACGTCATGTCAGGGGACAAGGATCATGGGGGTATGCACTGTTAACTTTTTGGGAAAGCCAGGCAGATATGCCGTGCCGTGCCATCATTACCCTCCTTTTCTTCCTAGAGTAGTGTCCTGTTACTACTTTTTTCCTAATAACATTAATTCTATTTCTTTTCTACTCCAAAAATCTCTTATCTTTATTTTCTAGTCCGTATACAGTGTATGGATGTACCCCCTACTTAAAAGTTGTTCTATGATTACTAAGATATGAGTTTGAATGTACGGAGTAATTAGATTACGTATAAAACCTCTATAAGTACTTGGTGTAGACTTACTTTTTGTTATCAATTTACAATCAAAGTCTAGTTTACTATTCTCAGTGACCGTACGATTGAATCTGAGGTGACTCTCGAGGATATGACTCATTTTTTTTGTATAAGCTAGTCAAAATAACTTATAAACATTTTTTAACAAGTATTCTATCCCGTGTCATGCACGGGTCGAAGGAATGTTTTTTTATTCAAATAATTTTTTCTTTTTAGTTAGTGATTAACAAATTGAGCAAAATATATCATCACACTGTAGAATTTAATTAATGATATACCATAAAAATTTGCTAACCAAAATTTATCTATATATAAATCGAAAAGAACATGTAAATTTATAAATTAAATTCATATTTTTTTGGAAAACATCGAGGTAAACGAATATTTTTAACTCCGTCCATGCATGGGGTTGAACAAATATTCTTTTACTCTGTAATATTTCTTCAGTGCTTCTGATTATTAAATCAAACAAAATCTAATACTAACACCAAAACTTAAACAAAGGTCATACTCCGTAATACAGAGTAAATAACACGTGCTAATGAAAATTCTTTGAGACTCTATTTCATACACAAAATTTGAACTCAAATGCAACACATGACCATTAACTATAAGAATATCAATATCTTTCAAGTTTTTTTAATAACTTGTTGCATAGCTCATGGTGTCCATGTTACGGAGTACAACTGTTGCAGTCATAGTTTTAAAAACTGGACCGGACTGGCCGGTTCGGACCTCAAGACCTCTTAGAGATTTGGTTGAGTTCTAACCATCCAAGCAAGAGTGTTTTTTGTTACAAGTTCACTTAATCTTTTATAATATTTCATAATAAAAAATGTATAAAAATTCCTTTTTAATTTTAAAAATATAGTATTATATAGCTATGAGCCAAACACAAAATCATTGATATTATTGATACTATTACAAAATGCATATCATGCAAAGATTTCATTAGAATGTTTTTAAATATTAAACAACTTATTTGAAAAAAAATTAAATCAACTCTTCATTTATAAAATTTTTAATATTATTTTTTTAATATGTTAATTTTATTTTTTAACTTAGTAAAATAACTCAAGTATATTAGTATAACTTTAGTCAAACTAGATTCATACCCGTGCGTTGCACGGGAAAATTTTTTTTCCAAAACAAAAATTTAAAAATATTTATGTATAAATATAAGATTAAAATAAAATCAAATACGGTATTGCACCACTAAATCAAAATGAATAAATTACTTCATCCATTTTTTAATAATTACTCCTTCCTTTTGATTGTTTTTATCTCATTAAATATTTACAGATTAAACTAAATTTACTTTTTCAAATATTTTCATCTATGATTTATTGTATTCATGACACATCTTATTTTGTAAAATTTTTATGTAGTCTTTAGATATACTACGTATAATTCTAATTTTTTAATTCTACACACATCGATATTTAAATACATTCCATCAAAAAAGCTTTTATCACACATCATGAGTTAAGTGTAATAGCTCTATGTGTTTTAATAGAAGTATACTCAATTTTCTGATAAGATCTCTCAGATTCTACATTATCTGGAATGAAGTCTGAGATCCTTATAATTTGGGTAATGAACTTTGTGACCACATTCTGTCTATATGGCTTTAGACTTAAAATTCCGTTATTTTAATAAATACTAAATTTTACCTTTATACTTATTATTTTATTAAATTTTAATAAAACCCTTCAATTTGTTAAGGCAACATAATTTTCAATCATAACATCTAAATAGACGAAATGTACCTTCAAAGTATAAAATCATAAATTTCAAGAACCTTATCGTATACTTTAAATAACGTGGGACTTGACAATTCTTGAAGAAAATTGAAGACTAAGTGACATATATTTTAGATAATGTAAACTTAAGAGTTCTAAACTGAAAATCAAAGATATCATGGAGTAATTTTTGCAAAATTATTTATTCTTTAAATCTAACTTTTTTCAAAGTAGAAAAATGTTATAAGAGCATCGTTTCTCACTTTCCCCTTATTCTTTAATTTGTACTACTAATAACATTAGTGATTGCATTTAAACACATACCCCGTGAAATAGTTCTTGAACGCTAGAAACGAATGCATTCTATCAACAACTTTCAAAAAATCCTGCATCAACAAAGGCAATGTATTTGATCCTAGACATAATAATATACCCCCTCCGTCCGAAAATGTTTTTCGCATTTTCATTTTTGGTTTGTCCGAAAATGTTCTACCCATTTTCTTTTTTAGTCTACTTTTTAAGGATAAATTTTAATAATATTTTTCTATTTTATGACTAATCTACTTTTTTTTATTTTTTTTAAAAGAAAATAAGCTCTAAAAATTTATAGTACTTGCAGTTCCTTAAGTGTGGGTGGAAGTTATAGAGTAACAAAATTCAGAACTTGAGGAAGACAATGATATTTGTACCATAAGCTGATGACATACCCCGCAATCAATGCATCGAGAAATACGAGCAACACCATGTCTTGAAGATGCAACTAAAGGTTTTCTAGAATTTGCCACAGGGTGTGCCTTAGACATTGCAACTTAACATGGCGGGCCTAGAAAGCATATCCAGCCTGTTCTACCGCACAGGCCCAGCGATGGACTTCTCATGAGTATTTTTGAACTTGTTATTTTGAACAATTTTTTTGAATAAAATTTATAATGGATCATTTCTAAATTTCATTTTTTATTATTAAAAACTCCGTATTATACTCGTAGGGCCTGTTACTTAGGGCTTGACTCTTAACTTCCAATTTCTTCCAGTTCCTTCCAGTTTCTTCCAGTTTCTTCCAGTTTCTTCCAACTTTTTTCATTTTTTTCAAATTCTTTCTACTCCTCAACCAATTACTCTAAAAATGATATATTTCAATGTGATTATTATTATTATTATTATTATTATTATTATTATTATTATTATTATTATAATTATTACAACTATTATATTCATAATTGTAGTTTATAAATTATTTTTTTCATCTCACTATTTTTACGATTCACACTTATTATTTTTTTCTTCAACTTGTTAATATGAATAAGACATTTTTTTGTATATAAGTCTACATGATAAAACAGGAAAACATTAATATGTTAAATTACTCTAAAAAATTATGGATAAAATAGTTACATTGAATGTTTTATTAATATAACTTTTTATAAAACATCTCAGTTTTCCCTTTATTACTTAAAAATTTCTCATTTTTCGAATTTTTATAAAAAAAATTGTAAGTCAAAAGAGCTTAGAGAAAAAGACTAAAATATGAGTAAAACATAAAAAATGTAAACAAAAAAGTTCTATGTCTTAATTCCAAAAATAGGAATTCAATGAAAATAAAATATCAATCATAAAAGAAACAATAGATTTGATTATGTGACATGTATGATATTTAAAACAAAATGTTTTAATATATAAATTATAATTACAAATACATTACATAATAAATACTGCATAAATAAATTGAGCTACAATATAACTACACAGCCTTTTAAAAATTTAATATTTTTATATTTATGCTAACTTTATATTATAATTATTTTTTGTAAAAGTATTTTTTTGTATTTAAAAAATAACAATACTTTTTTTATATCTTAAAGACATTCACTAAGATAACGTGATGATGATGATTATGTTGATGATTATGATGATGATGATTATGATGATGATGATGATGATGATGGTGATAATAATAATAATAATAACAATAATACGGAGTAATAATAATAATAATAATAATAATAATAATAATTTATAACAACAAGAATTTAAAATAAATATTTTTAAAGTTTTTTCCAGTTTCTTCCAGTTCCTTCCAGTTTTTTCCAATTTCTTCGAGTTCCTTCCAGTTCTTCCAGTTCCTTCCAGTTTCTTCCAGTTTCTTCCAGTTTCTTCCAGTTCCTTTCAGTTTTTTCCAGTTTCTTCCAACATCTAGCTCTTTGTTTACAGTTCTAAAGAACAGGCCCGTAGTCATTCTTTTATGAATACATTTTTCTTTAGATTTTTGTTTTTTTAATCGGATATCATGTTGGTAATAAATTCAAAACTAAAAGTGTTACTCCGTATTTCACAATTATCATATATATGTTCTCATAGCCAATGTCAGATGTCACTATTGATACGTCGTTTGTCAACTTAGTCGTTGTCTACTGCAATCATAGTCTGTAGATGTCGTTTCTAGTCAAAATCCACGTCCAAAACCATAACCATTATTTTTGTGTTATCCATCAGACGATGACCTAAATATACGTCACTGGACATATGATCGGTATGAAATTTTACTTTTAGCTCTCAATTTAACAACAGTATAACAGAAGGTCACGAAAAAAACTGTCCATGAAAATGTACTCATAAAAGAAGGATTACGAACGTAATATTTAATAATAAAGAACAAAATATAAAAAAACCCTAATATAAAGGATCAATTACAAATTTACTCATCTTTTTTTATAGTACTTGCGGAGTATTTAGATTTAGACAATTTAAGAAATTTTTCTGGATAAGAGTGAAGAAACATGAAAATACTAAGATATGAATTCTAAGGGGCTGTTTGTTTCAGCCTCTTAATGATTCAGATGTCTGAATGATTCAACACTTAATGGTTCAGACTGTTTGTTTCAGCCTCTTAATGGTTCAGAAGTCTGAATGGTTAAGAAATTTGCCAATGGTTAAATATTATACAGAGTCTGAATGGTTAATATCTCTTATCTGAATTGATCAGACATTTGCCTCTGAATAATTAAGCAATATACTAGCTCTTAATGGTTCAGACCTCTTACTGGTTCAGCACTTAATGGTTCAGACCTCTTACTGATTTAGCACTTACCCATTCAGAAGTTGCCAAACAGCCCCTAAGTCTTTTAATACCAAAATATGATTATAATGACAGTGTGATGTAAGAGTACGCATTAACACTGTGGTGAAAAGTGATGATAATGTAATACGACATGTGACCAATCAACCATCGACACGGACGATAGTGTAGCAATTGTAGTGTGACAATCAGGGGCGGAGGAGGGGGGGGCATGCCAGGGCAAGTGCCCCCCCGGGAAAATTCCGGCGAAATAGGAATATGGTACCCGCGGCGACGGGAGGCCGGATTTGCCCCCCCAGATCGCAGACTCGCAGCGAAGAACTCCCGACGGCAGACAGGTCCAGCGAAGAAGATGAACTGCTGCGGAAGAAAAAAATCACCAAAACGAAACGACGTCGTTTTGGTGAATGGGTTTAAAAAAATTAATTTGACCCAGCCCAACAATCCACGGCCCAGTAGCCCAAATCTCCAAATGCCCAAAAAATTAAAAACAAAAGGAGGATGAGGATTGAACAAAAAACGGAAGACCACTGCTCCACATTCCAGAAGGGCTCCGCCACTGCCTGAAGGACCGAAACCAGAAGGGCGGAGGCTGAAGGCAGATTCGAGCTCTTTTTTGTGCTTCTTCATCTTCTCTCATTGCTAGGTATTATATGTAAATTTTAATTTTTGAGATTTGTTTCTTAATATTTGAAGGTTTTGAATATTGCTAAATTAGGTTTTAAATTTTGAATATTTATTTTGTTCCGTGGTCGTAGTGTGTTTGTTGATATTTCAATATTTGATAAATGTTAATGTAATTTTAAGTTCTAGAGATTAAGATATACGAATTATTATTTTAATGTTATTGATATATATTTTATTTTGTTACTTTATTATTGAATCAGGAAATTTTGAGACGTGAGATGGATAAATTTGTTATTAACAAAAGAAGAATTTAGAATTTGTAAGTGATAAAGACAATGAAAAAGAAACTTCTTCTTCTATAGAAGGTATGTTGAATTGCACTTTGCCAATTATGGTAGTTACAGTTGTGAATTTTGTTTATTTATTAAATGAATTTTTGCCCCCCCAAAAAGTCTTCTCTGGCTCCGCCACTGGTGACAATATAGTGATTTGTTGGGGAAGCACGGAACAAAACGCAACGGAAACGTATAAAATCTTTTCCCCAAATTAATGAGATGAACAACAAAGCACAATATACTTCAAAAATCAGCACCACCACCACAAATCGATAGCAACGGAAATAAAATAAAGAACACACGATTTACGTGGAAACTCCAAATCGGGGAGAAAACCACGGCCGTTCAACAACGGCACCCAAACTTCCACTAATCACCAAGAACCAAGTGGGTACAACAAGTTCTCCTCTCTAGTAAACACTAGAGGCATACACAATCATCAAGGAGCAACCTTGGAACAACAACAATCAACAATTCAACATAAAATGGAGTAAAAACTCCCAAAAACGCAGGTCTGAAAACACAGCTAGAAAACAGCCTTCCGGGCATCAAAATTAGAATCTGACCGTTGGATTTGAAGAGGAGTATGTGAGGAACTACATACTAAAATTTGAGCACGATCGGACTTCGTTTGGTCTTCGATCCGGACTGAAAACGGGGCTGCTGCACAGTGTGGCGTGAATTCTGTTTTTTTTTTCTTCTTTTCTCCTGCGTTAGCTACTGCCACTCCTTCATCTTCACTTCTTTTCCCTTATCTTCTTTCTTTTTTCTTTAGTTAGTAGCCACACAAGATGGGCCACCAAAAAAAACATTTGGGCTAAGCTTTACACACAAAAATAAGCCCAAATATAAAAGATAGATATAAAGTATTGTCCAATTAAAATTGAACACTTCCTCCATGTAGGAGGGAAATTTCCCAACATGATTGTCGTAGTGTGATCTTTTATTTTAGTTTTAAAAGACTTAGAACTCTTATTTTAATATGTTCATAGTTTTTTATACTTATACCGCCAGTTCTTCCTTGTTTGTCTTTTATCTTTATAAAATCTTTTCAATTAATCGTAGGAGGATTTATGAATATGATTATAAACTAATAAGAGTGTAAGTTGTAAATTCTGTTTGGTACTAATTTGAAATAATTATTTTTTTTATTAATTTTAAAATTTTATTTTTTGGATTTTTTGGAATTTTATTTTTTGATATTACTTCCTTCGTCTTGAAATTTAATTGCTACTTGACTTTTTCTTAATCAAAGTTTGTATATTTTAATCTTGATATATGAAAAAAATTGTTGAATTATATTATAAATATAATATCAATTAATTTTGAAATATAGTTTTAAATATAATTTTCTATAAAATGTACTCCATATCTATGTACAAATATAGGTATTAATAATGAAAAAATTATATTGGGAGGTGGAAAAGTCAAATGAAATGAAAATTGCTAGTCCAAAGGAGTTATTTTCTTTATTAAAAACATGTCTTTTATTTTACTTCATATTGCTATTGAAATAAAAAGTCAAACTAGAAAAATATTATGGGACAGATAAGTATTAGGTCGATTAGTGTTAGAACAAAAATACTACTAATCGAAAGTTTCACTAACCTCAGTGTACAACCTGTAAAAAATCTAAGGCTTGCAGGTTGTGACGGAGGATGTTGTAGCACTAATTAAGATCAAGTTATTAGAGTGCTACACCAACCTTACTAACCCGTCAGTAAACAATTTAGAACATAAAAGAACAGCACACAACATACAAATTGTTCACGCAGTTCGGAGCAAATTCTCCTACGTCTGCGAGGCCCACGTCAGTGTAACAGCCTTCCCACTATATCAAATCAGAGTTTACACCCTCAATGTCAATAGACTCGATCTACTCATTGATCTAAACTCTACAACTCAATGGGAATGCAACAAACTCGGTTTATGCATGCATGCCGAGACTGAAACAGTAAGAAACTTATCTGTGACGTGTTTCTAGCCTACGCTCCAGTACTTCTCAGTTCAACTGTCTGGAACGCACATTAATCTTCCTGCAGAAACACTGTTCTGCAGTCCAACGATAATCAATCCTACGATTTGCTTGGCTGAAGTGCTTTGCTCTTAGAACTCTCTCTTGGATAATTTTCTCTCAGAATTCGCACACCTGCAAATTCAGATCTCCCTTTATTTATACTCTTCAAGGCGAGATCAACCCTAATAGAGTCTTGGTTAGACCTGGCAAAACAGAACCGGAACCGATTACCCGAACCGAAATATCCAAAACCGAAACCGGAATGATCCGAAAAATGAAGATCCGATCTATAACCGAATACCCGAAATGATCCGAACCGAACCGAAACCGAACTAAATAATTCATATCTGATTAGATATCCGAACCGATTAAACCCGAATCGATTAAACCCGAAACCGATTAGATCCGGATCCGAAAATACCTGAAACCTATAAAATTCGAACCCGATTAGATCTGAAACCGATAATATCCGAACTCGATTCGAACTAAAATCGATAAATTCAGAACTATGTTTACCTTTCAATAAGCATATTATATTTTTAAATTTTTACTTTTATTTTACCATTTGAACTAGTTACATTACTTGCTCATTCCCTCATAAAATGGATTATCTTCTTGAAAAAAAGTACAAATTTTTATGCCTTAAATTTATTATATGTAGAAATTAAAGATAAGTTATACATATAAATGATAACGCACAAACAAATAAAATTTCCGTAATTTTTAAATAGTGAAGTGTGATATTCTTTTTGGGACGAAAGGAATATATATATGATGAATTGTATGGAATAATTAGATTTTATCCTAATTTCATCTCATTACAATAAANCCGATTAGATCTGAAACCGATAATATCCGAACTCGATTAGAACTAAAATCGATAAATTCAGAACTATGTTTACCTTTCAATAAGCATATTATATTTTTAAATTTTTACTTTTATTTTACCATTTGAACTAGTTACATTACTTGCTCATTCCCTCATAAAATGGATTATCTTCTTGAAAAAAAGTACAAATTTTTATGCCTTAAATTTATTATATGTAGAAATTAAAGATAAGTTATACATATAAATGATAACGCATAAACAAATAAAATTTCCGTAATTTTTAAATAGTGAAGTGTGATATTTTTTTTTGGGACGAAAGGAATATATATATGATGAATTGTATGGAATAATTAGATTTTATCCTAATTTCATCTCATTACAATAAATTTTATTGATTTGAGAGTTAATTTGATTAGTTTCAAACCAATTCACTCAATATTAGTCAATAAAATTAAATGTTAGTGTTAGCATTTTGAAAAGACTCTCTAGCAGCAGCCTTTACTGTTATCATTTTCAAATTTGATCTACACCATTACATTTAGGTGTAAAATTAATTATATTTGACTCTATTAAATTTAATTTTCTCTATTTTCAACCAAATATACTCAACAATTTACAAATTTTGCACTCAATTGAATAAAATTCACTTAATTTTACCCAATTTTACTAAATTTTTACCAAATTCTATTCAAATGGAACATAAGACTATTTGAATTTATCTTTTATCCTTTCATTTATATACATAAGTATATTAGTAGATGTGAGAAAATTTTTATATTTCAAAACTAAATTTTAAAATCAATTTAATTATATTAAATTTATATCAGAATTAAATATATATGTTTTCTTAATTTGTAGTCCAACTTTGTAAAATATGACTAAAAAGTCAAAAGGGGAAAATTAGAAAATACAGAGTAATATATATCCAAAATATATTTGATCCGAAACCGAAATATATTTGAACCGAACTAGACCCGAAACCGAAATATATCCGACTCAAATTGTATCCGAACCGAAATCTATCCAAACCGATTTATAACCGAACTGTATCTGAACCGACTCAAAACCGAACCGAACCGAAAAATGTATAGAATCGAAATCAAATCCAAACCGAAATTTAGCCGATCCGAACCGAACCGAACCGATTATAACATATAACCGAAAGATATCCGAACCGAAAAAATCCAACCCGAAATCGATACGGTTGATCCGATTGCCACCTCTAGTCTTGGTACAATTCTACCTACGAAGCATAGTTATCCAGTAGAGTCTTTGATATGATCTCCTCCCAATTTCGCACATGTCCATAATAAACGTTAGAGTTTGTAGTGTATAAGGTAGCGGCAAAGCTCAAAGTCCTCCTTCAGCTTGGTAAACTACAGTCCCAGATTCACTTGGACTATGAGAGTGACGGACAGAATGCTACAGCTTTATGAACCACAAAGCTAGGACAAAACAATGTATTCTTCTATAAACTACTACACATGGTTTTTGTCAAAAATAAAGCCAATACTAGAATAATAGGACTAAGACACAAGGGAACCAACACTAAACTTTTCATTCTTGTCAAAAATACCACTAGCTTTTACTTTTTTACAATAATGTTATTGAAATCGATTTCTAAAATGTTTAAAGGTATGTATCACTCAAGCATTATATTTCGACAAAAATACCTCTCTATTTTTCTCTTTAATAATGTCATTTGCTTCTCTAAAATGTTCAAAAATACCACCAAAGGTTTTTAAATAGTCACATTACTTTTTATTAGGCAAGTTTTTTGCTACTTTTCTTTAAATATTTACATTTTCAAAAGTTTTTTTTTATTGTTTTTTTGTGTGCTTCAACCGTGCATCTAGTTATTAAGGTCCACAAAAGTTTTAATTGATCCTTTATTTAAAACGATAAGAACTTTGGTTCAATGATCATTTCCCGCCCATGATACTGTGGTAGGAATAGTTAACTGTTAAAACATAATGGATTAAAAATATTAACTTTGTTGGTCCAAAAGGTGGAATCGCCCACCCCAGGCGCCCCCACCCCATGTCCCGACAGGGATGGTGGAGAAGGTAAATCATGGTGCTTTAGTCGGCCAAGAACGCTAGACCCGTGCCCACCGCGCACAATGAGCCTCCTCACCCTTTATGAGATTTTTGGATAGCTCCCACACTACCGTTTGCAGGACTCAATCCCTGGTTAATTGTAGCTCGGTACATAAAGGGATACAGTTACGGTAAGTAAATAGATTCTCTAAATCAAATAAATGTTAAATAAAGAATTATAATATTCCTTTGTAAAATATAAAAGGTAACATAAAATTGTCAGAAATGTTTATTACCATTTAAATATAATAATCATAGTCATAATAAATAATAAATAAATATAATTAAATGAGACTTTGATCATGTGAAACGTAAAAGGTAACAGTAATTAAGATGTTAAAGCATCAAGAACATTTATTGCCATTTAAATGAGACTTTGACCGTGAAAAAATATTTATTTGTTTATTTATTTATGACGTAAGGATAACGTAATTATACCACCGTGTAAAAAAGTTTAACTGTTAGGAAAGTTTATTATGAATGCGTAAAAATGTTTATTTATTTATTTATGACGTAAAAAGGTAACATAATTCATTTATCGTGTAAAAATATTTATTTATTAATAACAAATAAAGGTAATGTAATTAATATGTAATTCCGTATAGAACGTTAATTACCATTTAAATGGTACTATCACCCTCTAAAAATTATTATGACATAAAAGGTAACGTTGTTAATGTGTAAAAGTGCCAAGAACTTTTATTACCATTTAAAGCACACTTTTCTCCGTGTAAAAAAATATGAAAGATTACAACATACATTCTTTATTATGACATAAAAGGTAACGTTGTTAATGTGTAAAAGTGCCAAGAACTTTTATTACCATTTAAAGCACACTTTTCTCTGTGTAAAAAAATATGAAAGATTACAACATACATTCTTTATTTAATTGAATAAAATAAATATAAATATAATAAATTAACAAACTATATCATGCCCTTATTTTCACTCCGGGAGTGAGGAGGAGTACCGGGGGTAGGGGGGAACCGTCAATTTTACGAACGTGACACCATATGCCTCCGGATCATCTCATTACATTACTCGACAATGTCACATGAATCGCTTCGTAAATCCCGGTGTCCCTCTTAACCCTCCCCCTTCCCTTTATCAACTTAGTGCTACGTTAGTATCTCATTGTACTTCTTTTTTCATTCTCATCATTATTATAATATATTTAATTTTTTAACACTCAATTTAATTTAAATTACTTAAACTAAAAACTTGGAAAGTCTGTAGTATTACTTAAATACTGCAGACTTTATTAAAAATATTGGAAAAATAAATAAAACTGTAGGTTAAAAAATAAAATTTTAAAAAATTTAATGTTTTAATTAATAAAAGAAATAACAAACTTATTAAAGATTGTGAAAAAAATACAAAAATTAAAAATTGAAAGATATAAAAACCGATCCGAACACGAGTTGGCCATCCCGGAAGGTTTCAAAATATTTCATGCCCCTTATTTTCAACTTCAAATTAACAAACAATGAAGCTGAATATGAGGCTCTTTCCGGAGGACTCTGACTTGCCCAAGCCTTAAAAATCAACCGGGTAAGTATAAAATCTGACTCCAGCTTCATTGTGGGGCAGGTGACCGGTACCATGGAGGCACAGGAGGGACAGATGGTGCAGTATAAAGACTTAGTGTTTGCCATGTTAAAAGGGTTCACTGAGTTTTAGATAGCTCAAATCCTCCGGGCGAAAAACGCGGATGCTGATCTCCTTTCAAAGTTGACACAGTACGCACCGGATCATGTTTCAAAACTTACCTGGGTCGAGGTGCTAGATCGGGCTAGCATTGAAAAATTGGAAATCTCAATGATTGTGGCAGTCGAACAAACTGATCGGTCATGTTCCAACACGGTAAATGCCGATGATCATTGGATGGATGATCTACTGAAGTACCTCGTGAATGGAAGTTCACCGGAGCAGGAGGACTGGGTGTGAAAAGTTAAACTTAGAGCACCCTAGTTCCAAGTCATCGACAACATGTTATACAAGGGGGCATTCAGTGGACCACTCATGAGATGTCTAACCAACCGGGAGGCAGAGCGGGTGATTGCAGAAGTTCATGAGGGGGTATGCGCAACACACCAAATGTCTCGCACCCCTCTCAATGCATCATTTTACTGGGAAGGCCTATTTCGTTATCAAAGAAGCAAATTTGCAACATTCAAAACTCTGCCCGATATGGTTGAAAACAAAAGGTCAAACCTATATGAAAAGGCAACCCGGGTGGATTGGATTCCACTAGGATGGGTTGACTGAAACATAGGCCCGGACCTGGCACACTGTTTACAATACCGGTCTTGATCAGTATAATAATAAAAAAGAATAAACCCAGAAGAGGGGCCCTGGAGAAGGGGTATGCCTGCAATCAGGCTGGACCTGGAAGAAGGTTCGAAACCGTACTTACAAGGTCTCATGAAGTTTAGCCGGGAAGGGAGAGAAATCCAAAACGATCAAACTGATTCAGGAATTAAAAGATTCCCATGAAAAGAAAAGGATAATTCATCAAAATGCATCCTGAACCGACCAGGTCGGATTCCCCCTTCTCAAGAAAGACTTGAACGGGGGGTGAGACAAGGCCATTTCCTCGAGATGGTAAGCATAAAAGGGCCATTAAAAGACTTAATCAAGCAGAAGAGGGGACTGTGGAAGAAGGGTGCATTTGAGTCTTAGAGAGGGCTTAAAGCCATTTGACATGGCTAAATCTCTAGTGTTTTGACCGGTTCGAAACACTTCAAAAAAAATATACTAGGTTACAGGTGTGTCCGCCTACAACCTACCGGTTAAACAAAAAAGATACTCGGTAGGGTATAGTTATCAGTCAACTTTACAGAAGATTTCAGATCCTCGCAGAATAAAGATGATTCTTTCCACCAGTTGGAATGAACAAATAAATCGTCAACCGGGTAAGCCAAATCAATCGATGTGAAGGCATTTGAAAACAAAGTCAAAGCTTACCGAGAACTGTTAATCGGATAGAAAAATCAAAGCTAAAATTTGAGTTGGAGGCAAGAATTAATGATCGACCGGAAGAAAACACATTAGGGAGAAAGCCATATACCGGTTTAAATATCTATAAAGAAAGCAGCAGATTCAAAAAGAAAACAGTACCGGGATATGAAAAGTACTTGAATAATATTTGAGGAAATCATGTCAGTTACAAGTACACCGAGAATACCCGAGCAAATGAAATGTTTTTATATAAACAAAAACAACAGGGCATTCTCGGGAAGATCTAGTCTAAGGGGAAGGGAGGAGCATGCTCTTCTTCAGGGATCGAGGCCAGGCCATAGGAAGCTACAGTGAAGTTTTTCTTGGCTACAGAACGGTAGTCTAGATGCTATGCTTTAAAACTATTTTTAAAGTTTCGAGAAATGGTAATGTATCATTAGTTGTTTGTATCAGTTCAAAATACAGTTTTTCTTAGAACAGTTGTCAATAACAAGTTAAGAATACTCTATTTAAACAATAGTCTGGGTTTTTAGTCTAGAACTGTTTTTAAACTTATTAGAAACAGTTATCTAATCTAGTTAAGAATACTCTATTTAAACAGTTATCTTATCTAATTAAGATCTAATTGGAATAGATTTAATCAGCTTGATCTAATTGTAATGATATTTAAAAAAATTAATTCGATTTGATTTAATCTTATTTGATGAGATATGGTTTGATTAGATATCATCTAAACAACATATAAACATGTTAAACTGAGATGCAGTTATTTGATTTGGTATAATCTTATCTGTTTGTGTTTTTTTGAAATACAATAAGTCGGTGGCAACTTTTTTGGTCAAACCATGACACATTTTGAGCTCAAATTAAATATAATTTTAAATAATTATATGTTGTAAAATATAATATATCAAAACTACAATTCAAAATAAAAAACCTAAGTTTAATAACTTTATATTATAAATAAATATATTTTTTCCACAAATTATAGTCAAAGTGTTGCACAATTTGACTAAAAAAGTCAAATTGTGACAATCTTTTTGGGATGGAGAAAGTATAAAATTTGGTAATAGTTTTTTGTTCTGAACGAAATGAAAAAATTTCAAAACAATTGGATTCCCCTCAAAAAATTGAACTCTCTTCAAAAAAATATTGTCGAGGATGAAATTTTATTTAAGTGGGAAAAAGTCCACCCAAAAATTTAAAGTAAAAAAATTGGATTCCCACTAAAAAAGTTGATTCCTTACCGAGAACCTATCCAAATACATTCCTCTATCTCTTTTCTTATCTCTTTGTTTTCAACATTCAATTACACCCTCAAATCCTCTTAGAGTGTCAATCTCCTCCCTGCTCTCAAGATCCGCCGCCGTGGTGACGATGGAGCTCTTGTCCACTACATCTATGGCCATAGAGAAGAAGTCGTAATAAGCTCTCAATGAAAGAGCTCTAAATGGGGGTTTCTCGTTCGCGACATGAACAATACCGCGAGGGCTGTTCTTGCCGATTAATCCGTCAATCCGAGCTTGTTGCTCCAGATTTTTGGAGCTCTGGTTTCGCCTACAGCAGGGGATTCCGTATAAGAGGTAATTTCGCTGTTTTTGGAGCTTGATTTTAAAGATTCAAAGGTCAACGCATGGCAGATTTTGTTCATTTCCAATCCTCTCTGGTTAATTTGTGTTGGTCCAAGCAATTTTGAAGGCTACATCTCTGAATTTCAGAGTGTTTTGAGCTCCCTTTCAAGGTATGAACGTGAATTCCTTATCCAATTGATTTTTCAATCGATTTGAGGATCTCTGGTGATTACGAATTCACTGTTCATCTCGGGACATTGGACATTTTTTTATACTTCTTCATGTTTTTTCTTTGATTAATTCTATGGAGTTTCGTTTGGTCTGTTGAAGAGTTGTTTGTGTTGACCTTGAAATGGGGTTTGAACAAACTTGTGCGCTTCTACGGTTGTTCTTGCTCTGAACCTTGTTGATTATTTTAAGTGTTGATTAATTCTACGGTTTTTCTTGCTCTGAACCTTGTTGATTATTTTAAGTGTTGATTAATGCTACGGTTTTTCTTGCTCTGAACCTTGTTGATTATTTTAAGTGTTGATTAATTCTACGGTTTTTCTTGCTCTGAACCTTGTGTGCTTCTAGGTGTGTACCACTGGGCATGTATATATGGGTCTGGTTTTTTTTGTGACATTGGTGTTTACTGCCGCTGTACACTTGCTTTGTTCCAATTGCTTGCTACCTGCTGTTATGCAAGTGCTGAATTTGAATAATATCTGAGGTTTGAATTCCTTGATATTACTTGTCTCGTGTTCATGTTCTTTGTTATTGTTTTTGTTCTGTTGAGGACTATCCTGGACTTGGTGTGTGCTACCTTCTGCTATGTTTCTCTTCCATTATAGCTTGTAATGGTGGCTTGAACCATTATAGCACGAACTTGGGCAAAGTAATGAACAAAGCTTTCACCAAGATGTGTGTGTTGAAGGTATTTTTTGGATAGGAATAAGGATTACAGAACTAGTTAATATGTTTTGAAACAGCTTATGTAGCTCATTTATGCTTGACATGGGAGGTACTTCATTGCCAGTACACATAGTTGATGCAGAAAATATCCGGCCAGCCTGAAGATTCCACAATTTACAACCATAGCGCCCAGCAGTTTCAACTATTCTTGGTTTTGTTACAAAGGTTTATTGAGAATGAATCGTTCGAGCATGGGTCGAGGCCAGAGGTATATGCCCGTACTAGGAATTCATTGAGTAAACTACTTCAAGTCCCTAAAGTTCAAGGTACAATTCTTTTAACAAGATTCACACATTAAGTGCCCATTTGGTTTGCATTTTTAGGCTTATCTGGAGAATTTTACCTCCTGCTCCTTCATTTTTAGGTTGTCGTTTGCCGTGAAAACCAACAATCAAGCTGTCTGTTATGGGGAATTTCACCTCTTGCTCCTTCATTGAACTTTTCCCTTCAATAGCAAGTTCAACCAACTCTTTGGAATGGCTTGAGATTATACGTTCTATGTGGTTGTCTCCAACAATTGGTTCTTGATTCACAACGATCATTTCGGGAGTTATTGGGTTTTTGCTTGCACGTGGGAGATTCAAGTTCAATCCACGAAGATTCTCAAGGATTGGGTTCCTCACTTGTTCCTCTGTAGGTGCAACAACCTGTATCATAGGAATAGATGGACTGAAGAGGTAGGCATGTAAAATATGTAAATTGTTAGGAAGATGATGTAAATATGAAATTATTACATATTAATAATATTTTAAATGTATAAATTTATATATTGTTCAATATATTGTATTTTTTGAATTTATATTTATTTAATAATCAACACAAGATTACAGAAGTCTAATAAAAAATTCTACTACCATTCAAACGAATAGTTTGAAAAGTGTATGTACAACTACACAAACCCGTAGTGTTAATAACATTTAGACAATCAAAACAAACAGTTGTTTGAAATACTAAAAAAATAGTAGTTCATATTTTTAAAATACAACGTGAAATAATAGTTGTCTGAAGCAAATTTCTTTAGTAATCTTTAGAGTAGCTGTCTGATAAACAATTTAACTACTGTCATAAAAGATAGTTTGAATACTTAAAGGAAAACTACAAAACACCGTTGTGTTAATAATCAATATGCAACTAAAACAAACAATAGTTTGAATAAGAATAATGTTAGTAGTCCATATTTTAGAAATACAACAAAAGATAACAGTTGTCTGATGTTATTTTTGTTTAGTAGTCTTCCGAGCAGCAGTCTGATATATCTTTCAATTACTTTTTAAAGTAGATGTCTATATTGTTGAACGACAACACCAAGAATTAGGAGTCTGAAGTTAAAAACAACAGTAGTATTCATTATAGATAGACAACAAAAAATCACAGTTCTCTTTAATTCTAAAGAACAGATGTCTTACTCATACAAGGACAACACTAAAAGGTGGTATTCTAAAACATTACAAAACAGGTGTCGTCAACCATTTTACACAATTGTTTTTAAACAATAGTCTGTAAATATATCAGACAGCTGCTCGGAAGACTACTGAAATCAGCACCGAGAGACTACTAAAAGAAACAGTTGTCAGCATCTGTTTTTGACGTAGTGTGCATCTTCAAGCCATAGGAACCCACGACCGTGATCATCTTCCTCCCGTTAGGCTCCCGGTAGAGCAGCTTGAAGGACTCCATTATAGCTTCTAGGATTGACGTCAGCACCCGGGCGGCTTCGGCTTTGTTCTCCTACATCCACTTCCGGGCTCAACCAGGCAGCTCTCGCTCCTTTTGCTCCAAGGCCTCCTTCAGCTCAAGCTTCAGGTGGGAGACCTCTTCCATTAGCCAGGTGTTCTCCTCCTTCAGCTGAAGGTTCTCGGCACCCACAGGCAGCCCTAGAGAGCTTCGTCAATTCATCAATTTGGCGCATGATGACGGTGTTCAGCTCCCGGGCCTTTTGCTCCTCTTCCTTCACCTTCTCCTTCAGCTGGGCAGCTTTAGAGGGAGAACCTTCTGAGAACCGGTCAGCGGCATCCGGCCCCACCTTACGATTCGATAAATGTAAGGCGCATAGGATACACATACTGGGTGAGACTTACATCTTTCAGCCTGAGGCCAAGCAGAACCTAGAGCTCCTTCAAGGACTAGATGCCCGTTTGGCTTTCCCCTCTCTTCCTCTTTACAGAGGGATGGGTAGTCTCCACCTTTTTCACTCGGGTCTTCATCCCCTAATCAGGTGAAGGATTCTTTGACGCTGTCTGGTAGGCTAGGATTCCTCTTCATCTAAAATCTCCATGGTCTCTTGTTAGACTTTGTGGATTTTACCGGTCCTCTTCGGGAGCTCAAAGGAGTCGAATTCCATATCTGCAAATTCAAGCAAAATCAGTAAGTATAAAGAATGAGACCGATACGGAAACAAGATGAATTGAGAAAATGGAAGCAAACCTAGGTGAGGACGGCACCCGGCCTCTACAGTGTTGCCCGGGGAAGATACCCCGTGCCCCTTTGATTCGTGGGCCCCTGAGGTACCCTCTCCACCCGGGCAGACTCTCCCCACCCAACTCCCGAAGGAAAAGTTTGCCTCGGTTTGAGGATCAACCCGCAGGAGTGTTTCGCAGTCCCTCTCCAACTGCGGGGTGCTGGCCGGTGATGCATATTCAAGGTTCAAGAGATGATCATTCCATCGCAAACCGACCAGTAGAAAAACGAATTCCGGGAAGTCGATGAAAACAAAATAATTTTTTCCATCCCTAGTTACTTTGGGGGTGGTCAGAAATGAATGCCCTATTTTTTCGGGACTTGAAATAAACGAAACCCTTACAACCACACTTACCAGGTAGGATTTCAAACATGAAGACGAAGAGAGGAAGAGATGAGTTTTTACGAAGAGAATCACATATATTTAAAAAACATTTTAAAATACGGCGGGCATTTCGGATGATTTTCTTGGGAAGAATGAAAAAGGCATGACAGACCTCACCTAGGAGGGGGCGAAGAGGAAAAACTATACCCCCCTCCAGAGATTTGATATGGAAACCTACCCTACGTCCCCCGTGGGGTTCGATGATGTTAGGCCAGTTTGGGTTATATTGCAGAATATAACCCTCGGGAAGCAATCGACGTGCCTTATTCAGAGCAACCTTTGACACGACGGTTGGGTACTCCCTGACATTATCGGTAGGGAGTGGAAAATAACCTTCCTCCTAGAGGCGGTTTTCCCACTCCTCCCGGATCTCCCTACTCTAGTGGAAAAGGTGCGACACGTGGAAAGTTAAAATCTTGAATTTTAAAATTTTAAAATTTTAGGCGGGAAAGCTTAAAATTTAAATTTCAAGTGCCAGACTCCAGAACTTTACTTCATACCCTTGATAAATTTACACGCCCGGGAAGTAGAGGGCTTAGTGATGGGTGTTTTCCTCCCAAAACCCGTTCCGAAACCGGTGCACAGCAATGGACCAATCAAGTTGCAGACATGTCAAAATGGAAGATTTAGACTTAAAAGAAATCACCGGTCATGTTCGGAAAAGTTGACTGGCACAATATATTAACCCACCGATCAAAATATGTAACTTAAAACTTTTGGACTTCTGACCCTACGTAAGAAAGGAAATAAACCTACCGGGTAGGTTACTACAATGTAGAAGTGTCGACATGAATAACTCCAAGATCGTTTGGACGGTAGTGATCGATTTTCAACGAGAGATTGTGGAAATATTCCCTCAATCTCCACTGGGCGCTACGTGCCGAAAGGAAAGTCACTAGCACAAAACGACAAAGGGAACGGGAGAAAATGCTACGAGACAAAAGGGAAGCCACCTCGCGTCATCACATAACATGGGTAAACATGGACGCGCGATGCTTTGTCTCCTCCCTTTCCTTATAAATACATGTGTAACCCTCAAAGGAAGGGATCTGAATTCCATTTCTCTAGAACTTATACTGTAATAACTCCCAGCACTTTCTTGCATACTTAATAAGAATTACACTACAGGTGCTTCAACCTAACCGGTCACTCGTGTTTTCCACACTTCTTTACTTTCTGATATCAACAAACTATTCTAGACCCGATCTAGTATAGTTTGTCCGGTTGTTAATTTACACCATCACCTCGCATCACAGAAAATGGTCTAGAATGAAGTTTATTACTGTGGTCGTAGAAGAGCAGTCGAGGTCGGCGAAGGGATATAACCCAAAACATAAAAGAGAGAATGAATTCTAAAGCGGTGAACAAGGGTATGGAAGCATGGCCGATTGGACAAGAATAAGGCTTAGGGTAAACGTAAAACCGTAAAATAGTTTTAAAAAAAATATTTCGAATATCCTAAATAACATAGAATTTGAGTCCATACCTGATCCAATTTTTTTGAGATAACCAATCCGAGTATTCAAATATAAAAAATATCAGATTGAGAACTGGATACCCATTTTTTGGAATGGATCAGACTAGATTGTGGACAATTTTTTCTGGTCGGATATTCTTGAACACCCCTAGCACCGGGGTGGCTATTTCACCTTTTTAATGGGCAATGAATACGGAGTATTTAATTTGTAACTTTTGAACTACATTTTCATAGACTTTTATACTCTCTTCATTTGAAAAAGATTGCAATAGTTGCAATAGTTTGACTTTTTCGGTCAAACTATGCAAGACTTTGACTATAAATTATGGAAAAACTATAATTAGTTATAGAGTAAATTCCATAAAAGGTCCCCATCCAGTTATAGGTCATTTTACATATTTAGTCCCTACATATCAAATATTACTAATTTAGTCACCAATTATTATATCATTTTTCACGAATGGTCCTTTGTTAACGTTTTTGTTAAGAACATGGATAAAATTGTATATTCATACTTCTCTCTCCTCAATTAAGCTTCCTCCCTCCTCTCATACTCTTTCCCAAACTCGTCACTGAGTTTGAAGCTTTAAACCCAAAACTGAAATGATTATTCCTCTCTCAATTATTAGTCTTCCTGGTGGAACCTAAAATAAAAACCAATAAGCTCTATAGATGAGTTTTATCGGTTAGTCTCAAGAAATTGTAAAGAAATAAACATTAAAACTCATCGATGAAGGTTACTAGTTTCGAATTTGGGTTCCACCAGTTAGACAAATAATGGAGAGAAGAGTGATGATTTTGGTTTTGGGTTAAAAGCTTCAAACTCAGCGACGGGTTTGGGAAAGGAGTGCGAGAGGAGGGAGAAAGCTTAATTGAGGAGAGAAAAGAGTGTGAATTTACAATTTTATCCACGTTCTTAATGGAAATGTTAACGAAGGACCATTTGTAGAAATGAATATAATAATTGGAGACTAAATTAGTAATATTTGATATGTAGGGACTAAATATGTGAAACGACATATAACTGATGAGGATCTTTTATGGAAATTTACTCTTAGTTATAACTAAATTTTCCTTCCATATTTTTGTGCAGGTGGAGCCGGGAGTCTCGGAAACAGCCTTCCTACTTCCGAGTAGGGGCAAGGTCTGCGTACACACACCCTCCCCAGACCCTACTGTTGTGGGATTCACCTGGGTTGTTGTTGTTATAACTAAATTTAGTAAATAGATTAATTTTAAAATATAATTTTGAAATATCAAATATTTATAATATTTAATTATTTTTAATTAATAGTCATAGGCTTTTAGAGTTAATTAGATTAGAAAAAAAAGTTTGTAAGACGGATTGACTTTTTAGTTTTGAAGGAAGGAGTGATATTATTAACAAATATTTGCACTGAATATCACTAAAACTTAAGTCATTTCCCTAAATAGCACGTAAATTATTTTATTCTCTAAATAGCACTTGATAATGTCCAGTGATGACAAATATTTACTTTAATAATGACTAATGCATAATGACTAAAAGTCCTATATTGGGAAGAAAAACACATGTAGTGCTATTTAGAGAAAGTCATTATGTTTTAGTGCTATTTACGTAAATTCCTCTATTATTAATTAGTTGGTGCGGAAAGTGTAAGCAGGTAGCATTCCCAAGTGGATTCAGCCTATCATTTTTGAATTGAATCTAATTAATAAATTTTCCATTCCGGAGTGTTGAAGTATTGGCTTTCTTAGCTTGTCTTCATCAGTGATGAGTTGATTGTCTTTTTTTTTTATATAAAAACTGTTGTTCCTTTAAATCCAGTCACAAACTTCTCTTCCATAATACAATCACATAATTAGCTTATCCCCTGCTCTCTCTTAACCACGGCAGGCTAGAGGGGAGATATATACATTCCGGCCGGAACTGGAAAATTAATAAAATGGAGGATGAAATCAGAGCAGCGGGAGGTTTGCCGGTGGAGATCATCAGAAGGCGGCAGATGAGCCGAAACGCGAGCAGAAGCGGGAGCAGAAGTGGGTGGAGCGTGGAAGAGGTGTTCTCTTCGGGGGTGCATGGGCGGCGGAGCACACGGGGGGAGGAGGACGAAGAGGCTCTCCGGTGGGCGGCGCTGGAGAAGTTGCCGACATACGACAGGATGAGGAAAACAGTCCTGAAAACCTTCTCGGAGGAGGACAGCGACAGGGACAGGGTGGTGCACAAGGAAGTGGACGTGCGGAAGCTGGAAACCACCTTCCGACAAGACTTCATCAATCGGGTGTTTAAGGTTGCAGAGGAAGACAACGAGCGCTTCTTGAAAAAGCTCAGAGACCGGATCGATAAGTAAGTACCCATATAATTAGCTAATCGAATGATTTGTTTAAGCGCTAGCTTAAACAACAATAATAACTCTGGTTTGGGCGCGCAGAGTTGGGATAAGCCTGCCAACAGTGGAAGTGAGATTTAAGGATTTGAATGTGGAGGCTGATTGCCACGTGGGAGATAGAGCTCTTCCCACGCTGCTCAACACTCTCAGGAATCTGGGGGAATCTGCTTTGGCCTCTTTGGGGATTAATTTGGCCCAAAACACTAAACTCGCCATACTTAAGCACGCTTCTGGGATCGTAAAGCCATCCAGGTATCCATGTTATTTGTGCCCGGTTATTGTTGATTTAATTTGTTGCTGATTGTTTTAACAATATTTTTTTAATTTCTCACTTCGCATTAATGTTTATACTACGTATTTGTCTTTCTATGACTAATGATTTGTATTTCTATGTTTAATTCCATAAAATTGTTATTACAGGATCACATTGTTGTTGGGGCCCCCATCGTCCGGGAAAACGTCTCTTTTGTTGGCTCTAGCGGGGAAGTTAGACCCTGCCTTAAAGGTCATACCTCAATTATTCTCACTCCCTACGTAATTTCACTTTTTATTCAATTTTTTGGACAATGTGGATTTCTTTTTTCAAAGTCAATTACGAGTTTGATACGGGGTAGTTGAAAAACTATACTTCCCCCCTTCTTGAAAATACTTCACATTCTGGCCTAGTGCCAAATCAAAGAAGTGTCAAATAATAGTTGACTTTGAATTTTGTTTTAAATGTGATGAGTAAACCTAAAATATAATGGATAGATTATTTGAAAAAAAAGTATGATGTGATATGAAGGGTTAGAAAAAAATAAGGGTAAAAATAGTTTTTTAATAGAAAGTCGAAGTATTAGAAAGTGTTTTGTAGAACAGAGGAAATACACATTAGCAGTTTTTTCAAAAACCATATTATTTCTTGTCTTATACTCTATAATTCTTTTCAAAGACAAAAAACGTATTTTAAAATGGATAATTTTGATAATACTACCTCCGTCCCACTCTCTTTATCCACTTTTGACTTTTGGAACTGTTCATATATGCACTTTGACTCATCAATTTCCCTCAATGTGTAAGCCTAAATATAGTCATGTGTGATCTTGTTTGATTTGTCTTAACATATAGATTATTAATATATAATTTTTATAATTTTTTAATATATAAATTACAAGATAAAATGGATTAAAGAAGTGCATTGGATGGTGTACCAAAAGGTAAGTGGACAAAGAGAGTGGGACGGAGGGAGTATTCACTAATTATGACTTATCAATCTTATATACTTCATCAAGTTATTGTTTTCTTTTAATATAATTGATATAATTTTAGATAAAGAGTAAAGGCGATGTTTAACCACTTATGATTTCAACCATGCATCATTCATGAGAAAAGTACACATTTTATTAATAGGATATGAGCTAATAATAATTCACTTATAATTTAAAAAATTTGAGGAAAAAATACATTTCATAAAAAATTTCGAGATAAAGCACATACATTTCATGTTTGAAAGGAAAATGTGTACTTTATGAATAGTTCAATTCGAGTGTAAATGATACGAAAAGTGTTGGGATTCCTCCAAGTCCCACACCGGACGGAGAAGAGTAAATGAACCAAAATATATAGGTTCACCCAACCCCATTAGTATGAGGCCTTTTGGGAGGTGTCCAAAAACAAATCCGTGAGGGCTTGGCCCAGAGCAGACAATATCATACTAATGCGGGGTTGTGATAGGTAAAAGTAGGACGTAGTTGATAGATTATTAGAGAAAAATATGATGTGATAGGTAGGATAAGAAAAAATATGAATAAAAGTAGTTTTTTAATAATTGGTGGAAGCATTTCAGTGAAAGAGAAAATGTTTTGTACATTAATATTTGGAATTACCGAGTTACACACTACTTTTTTCCTTTTTTGGATTTAACCAAAAAGCCGCATATTTAAAGAAAATTCGATAACTTAAAAAACAAAAATATACTCCGTACTACGTAAATTGAGTTTATTAAAGAGAGAAAGATCAAAGTAAGACTAAAACATTGAAAATATACTAAAATAGGACTTTCATGCCTTTATTTCTGAAATATGACTTACATTACCATACATGGGCATATACATTATCAAAAAAGTATAGTAATTTGCACATGTACACTGCCACATTATAACAAGGCAAAGTCACATTACCACAATGTAAAGTCCTATTTTGGGAAAAAAACATGATAGTACTATTTTGATACTTTCTTCTATGTTTTAGTCTTATTTAGGGTGATTTGTATTTATTAAACCAAACGTCAATTTCAATTTAAACCAAAAATATACTCCAAACGTAAGTTTGAATTTATCTGACCTGAACCAAAAATATACTCCAAACGTTAGTTTGAATTTATTTGACCCGAATTCGACTTAACAAGAAGATACTAGCAAGAAGAAATTGAATACTCCTGAAAATGTTCTTTCAATTTAATTTTTTCGATTCAAAC